AATTAAAAATCAAAATAACAATATTTTAAAAATCAAAGTAAAAAACTTATTTTAAAAAATAAGCAAAATGTCAACCTCAAATGAAGCTACCAATATTACCATTAACAGTAAAACTAAAACCTGCTCATGCTGTGAAAAACTTAAACCAATCGCTGAATTCATAAGGATGATTGGAAGTAGAATGACAGTTAATATTTTGTGCAATGCCTGTGCTAATCGAGATAAAAGATATAGATTAAATAAAAAAGTCAAAGCAACTAATAATGAAAGTACTCAACTACTTTGTTTAAATGAAAATATTCAACCACTGCCTTTGGATAAAAATATTCAATTGTTACCCTTAAGCAAAAATAATATAGATACAGATAGCGTCAAAAATAGTAGTGATAAATTTATTTATAATATATATAATATTAAAAAGCTTGTTAATATAAAATTTAGAGATAGTAAAAAAAAAGTTGAACTAGTTAAATTCTCTGTAATAGTAAAACTTGAAAGAGAATTAGTTAATGAAGAAATAATGTCTCTAGAAATTGATCAAAATGAGGATGCAGAGTTTTGTGAAGTTATTAACATATTACTCTTACCTCTTCAAGCAGGATCAAAATATTATTAGGAGCTTTGCATATATAAATAAGAAGAATAATCAGCCTACAGGATACACAACAGCTCATTTAAAATGCACTCAAAGAATTGATCGTCAGTATAAACATCAAGACAACCAGCCTATAAAGCGTGTTAGAGAAGTATCCACTATTAAATAGTATCCATGTGAGGGTAGTATAGTAGTTAAGATTGATTTGTGTGAACAGGAGGCTAAAATAACTTTTTAGCACCTAATAGCTCACGAATATCCCACATATAGGGAAACAAATCTGCCTAAAGATGCTGTAGAATAGATGCATCAATATCTAAATTTAAGATTGCGAAAAATAGAAATTTATTAATGACTCTGTGATAAAAATTTGATTAATCCATTGCTATGCACTTACCAACAAGTATATTATTAGATACATAAATTTTCAACAGAGTTGTATATTACTGATATAGAAAATCAACTAAA